AATCAGCCGAACCAACACTCCCCCTCAAGCTAAGCATGGATGTCAGTCATGTTTAGCTTGCCAAGTAAGTCCAAGAATTTCGTTGAAGCTAGCCCCTTTGTTAGCACATCTACAATCTGCATCTCGGAAGGAGTATAAGGAATGCAGAGTTCCCCTGAGACTATCCTTTCTCTAACGAAGTGTCAGTCAATCTCAATATGTTTCGTCCTATCATGTTGCACTGGGTTATTTGCAATGTTGATGACAGCCTTGTTGTCACAGTACAACCTGAGAGGACTTTATCCCGAGCTCACTAAGAAGAGTCCTAAGCCACAGAAGTTCAGCAATACCATGAGCCATAGCTCGATATTCAGCCTCTGCACTTGATCTAGCAACCACATTCTACTTTTTACTCCGCCATGTAACTCTGAATTCAGTTATAAGAGATAACTCCTAAAATCCACTCCTAATGCCATTAGGAAACCTACTAATGACAATTGACAAATAACAAAAAAATAGCTTCTGAAAAGTTTCATCAATATCCCTATTATCCTTTGATACATAAAAATTCAAAATATCCCAAACCTGACTAATTAGCTCTTGCATCATGCACATTTAATTTCAATACNCTAATGCCATTAGGAAACCTACTAATGACAATTGACAAATAACAAAAAAATAGCTTCTGAAAAGTTACATCAATATCCCTATTATCCTTTGATACATAAAAATTCAAAATATCCCAAACCTGACTAATTAGCTCTTGCATCATGCACATTTAATTTCAATACTTCCATATAACTGCAAAGATACATTAACTACTCCACATAACCAATAAACATAGATTTGATAGCATACCTAAAGTTTAAAATGAAAAAGATAACACGGACATATGGAGCAATCCTCAAAGGCAGGGAATTTAAGGGCACTGGAGATAAATAGAGAGAATAGATAACTAAATCGGCAATCAAAACTAACACGGAAATAACCTGCAAAAGCAAAGATATGTCAATTAAATCAAGTGTAAGAGAATCCATGGATTACCACAAATTATTATATAACAAGTGTGCTATCTTAAACTTATGGTATTTAAATGAAAAGACAGAAAAGGATGACCACATATATTTCCAAATGTGTAACCATTTGCAACAAGTATTTCAAATATTTTGATGTAAGGCTATAGATCATAGATCAGATATCTACATTCAATATGTAAAACCTTAACACTAGATTCCCTTATCTTAGTCACAATGTCTAAAATTTATTATAAATATTCTCGCGTTTCAGCCAAATTAAATTTTTTGTCCTTTTTGTCATTCCTAAATAGAATTCCCTTGTTAGAGTTGGTAACAGGATATTTTTCCTGCCCTTTTCTAATGTTTTAGGAAGTAAGGTAAGAAGAATTGTTTTTCCATTTCCTTTCTAATATGGACAGGAAAGCAAGATCCATGCAGCACTTAAAGAATACAGCAATAAGTATAAAAATACAAAACTGAAAACAACAAAAACAAGTTGGATTGTTAAGGATTTCAGATTTGAACCTGAAGAAGACTCCTCCTAGAACAGTGAACTGCAGTAATAATGGCATCAAGCTGGCCTTTCATGCAGACACGTAGTGGTAGAGGGATTGCAAGGCGCCAAATAGGTCGACTCCTCAAAACCCAAGCTCCCAATACTTGAAAACCCTAGTTGGAGATGAGCTACAGCTCAGATAAAAGAGAAATAACCAAAAAAAATCCACAGAAATACCCCCCTTCTCTTTTATAAGACTCGATGGCTTGTTGGAGAAGCCAACTGAAATATTTACACGTAAGCCCCCAGAATATTCACCCTCCACAAACAACTCCTTAAGAACAAAAACTAACTTCAAACAACCCCTCAAAAGATAAGTTTTCTTACAAAAACACCCAAGAGACCAAAACCCAACAGATGTGCACCCAGCTACCTCGAACCAGAATCTGATTTGAATTAAAAAAAATGATGAAAATACACCTAGGCCCAAACTGACAACAAAGCTTCCCAAGACAACTATTTGGAGATCCTACTACAAAACAAACTCAAAACATATTTAAACCATTTTTTATTCGTTCTTTCCCTTTTTTTGGGCTTGTTTCTACTGTTGCTACAGTAGTCCGAACCAGTAAGGAGAAGAAGAAAGAGAAGAAGAAGAAGAAGAAGAAGAAGAAGAAGATGAAAGAACTATCGAACCTGATAGCTAAACCCTATCAGTTGACCTCTTAATAGTGATTAGGCTCTAATTAAATGTACAAGGACTAAACTGCCCCTACTTAAGTATGGGACAGAGAACCTCTAATAASACTGCCACATAAGCTCATAACTTAACCAAGGTGAGTTGACTAATCTACCCTTATTCGGCTAACTCTAACAGGGCTCATCACTTTCGATGGCTATTTATTCCATTTAACTAATATAGAAAATTGACTTGTTAAGCTTAAAGTTAAATACTTATTTGGATGTTCCATTTAACTATTTATTTGTTTTCCAGTTTAAGGTTTTCTCTAGTCTTGCTGAGACTAACATCATGAAGATTGTATTGTATCTTTTCATCTACTAATAGAACTCTCCTTGCTACCGATCAAATATACTGTTGAGAATGCTTAGACATGGGTGTTTTTGGACATTTTTCTCTTCCCTTGTACTCTTTTTGTATTTGGGCACCCAAGTAGGGACATCCTTGTAATTTCTTCTTTTCAAAATATAAAGATCTTCTGAGGGTGTGAACAGTAACAATCACACACCTCTTGACACATCTCTTCTTCTTCTTCTCTCCTCTTCCTTTCTCTCTTCTAAACCCTAGCTTTTTACTCTTGTTTTACAACTTGGTATCAAAGCGGGTAAAGGTACTTAGGAGTACCTCTCCTTCTAATCCTCTCCCACAAGGTGAACTGCTGGTGTTAGACCGCCGCCGGATGATGTCAGCAGTCCGTACAGGTGTCAACGATGTCAATGAATCTTACATGGTTTGATTTACCCTGATTTTAGAGGAATTTTGGTACAACTCTTGCTTCGATTATATGGTTTTTAGTGGTTTTTGATTTTTTCCAAGGTGAAAATTACAGAAATTTCAGATATGATGTCGAGCCTTGTACATCATGTTTAATGGCTTCTTCTGCTGTAAAACCTAGACCATTCAGGTTGCTTTACACTTTGGCCTTTGGGAATGACAGGAAGTGGTCCCGTAATTTTCTAAGCCCTATATAATTTTTGACAGATTTTCTTCTCTCTCTATTTTGCCGCCAATCTGGTTTTTTGGCCTTCTTTTATCTCTTAACCGTGTGGTGACCTTGGTTCTTGGGTCTGTAGTGCTTTGGTTAAGACTTGGGAGTCTTTTTAGTTGGCGAGAAAGTAACTTGATAGAATATGGAATCATCTAAGGATGTTCAAATGGTTTCCAGTGTGTTCTCAGGAAGTGTTGATATTCCCAGTGGGATGATAACTACAGTTAAACTTGATGAAACCAATTTTTTATAGTGGTTTCTATCTGCTAAACTTGTTTGACTCTATGCCAAAGTTGAATTTTGAATGTGAAGTTTATCATTTACCCAAACAATGTAGAACCACATATTTTGCGAGCAGTAAAAGAAGTACAGTTGCTTTCAATTTGATCCATACTGATGTTTGGGGCCTATATGCTATCCCCTGCATGGGTGGGTATAAATACTTCATCCTCTTCATTAATGACTATAGTCAGTATACATGGCTCTACTTGATGAAAAGTCGAGATAAGTTCCTATGATTGTTTAAAACTTCATGAATATGGTAGAGACATAGTTTGAGAAAAAAGTTAAGATAATAAGATCTGACAATGCCAATGAATACTTTGAACATCAGTTGCATAGATTTCTTAAAGATCGGGGTATTATTCACCAAAGTTCATGTAGTCATACTCCACAACAAAATGGGGTGGCTGAAAGGAAGAATAGGCATGTGGTTGAAGTTGCTCGTGGTCTATTGTTTCAAACTCATGTTCCCACTCATTTCTGGGGTGATGCTGTTGAGACAGCTTTGTATCTCATTAACAGACTCCTGTCAAGGGTCCTTAACCTTCATTCTCCTCACCAACTTCTCTTCCCTGATGAACCTCCTTTTAATGTACCCCTCAAGATCTTTGGATGTGTTTGTTTTGTTCATGATATGAGTCCATCCCGGGGTAAGTTTGATCCTAAATTAGTTAAAAGTGTATTCCTTGGTTACTCTCTAGTTCACCAGAAAGGCTATAGATGCTTTGATGCTCTATCTGGAAAGAGATATGTCTCTAAGGATATTACCTTTTTGGAGTCCTCTTCCTTTTTTCAATCATCTTGTCCTTCTCTTCAATGGGAGAATGCAAGCGAAGATCGAACTCCTTTGTACCTTCCTGTTCCTACCTCTATTCCTCCCTCTCTTCCTTGTAATGATGGTATTCCTTCTCCTCCTCATCCTCCTATGTATCAACCTCGGTCCTGGCAGCAGTTTTTCATCAGGCACAATAAGAGGGTGGCTCCTGAAGCAGAATGCCCATCACAATCTCATTCCCCAGACTCAGGTAATCTTGAACCTCCTGACAATCCTATTACTGATTCTAACCTTGATCTTCCTATTGTCGTTCAAAAAGGGAAGAGGACATGTAGCAAGTATCCTATTACTAACTTTGTGGCTTATGATGCTCTCTCACCTTCCTATTGTGCCTATATTTCTACCATCTCTTTTGTTTCCATCCCTCGTAGTGTTATAGAGGCAATGCAATCCCCCCACTAGAAAGAAGCTATGAACCAAGAAATGGAGGCCCTAATAAAAAACCAGACTTGGAAGGTTGTTCCTTGCCCTAAAGATAAGATTCTTGTTAGGTGTAAGTGGGTTTACACTGTTAAGCACAAGGTAGATGACTCAATTGAGAGGTACAAAGCTCAGCTTGTAGACAAAGGATACAACTCAAACTTATGGCATAGATTATCTAGAAACCTTTGCTCCAATTACTAAAATGAACTCTATTAATGTGATCATGTCCCTTGCTGCCCATTACTCTTGGCCTTTATATCAAATGGAGGTAAAGAATTCCTTCCTTAATAGGGACATACAAGAGGAAGTGTATATGGACTTACCACCTGGGGTAAGCTTTCCTAACAATTGATGGAAAAGTCTACCGCTTGAAGAAGTCCTTGTATGGGCTCAAACAGTCCCTGAGAGTCTGGTTTGATAGGTTTAGAAATGCTATCTTAAAGATTGGGTTTGCTCAATCTCAGGCTGACCACAGCTTATTCATTAGAAGAGTTGATGGTAGAGTAACAATGTTGATAGTATATGTTGATGACATTGTTATGACAGGTGATGATATCACAGGTATCTCTCAGTTAAAAGTCCTTCCTTGCTTCCAAATTTGAGATTAAGGACCTTGGTGATCTCCGATACTTCCTTGGCATTGAAGTTGCAAGATCCAAGAAGAGAATTTTTCTGTCACAAAGGAAGTATGTACTTGATTTGTTTCATGAAGTTGGGAAATTAGGGTGTAGGCCTGTAGAAACTCCAATTGATCCTAACCACAAGTTGAGTTCCACTGAAGGATAAGTTCTTCCAAACAGGGGGATATATCAAAGATTGGTGGGCCGCCTTCTATATCTCTGTTTGACTAGACCTAACATATCCTATTATTATAATTCGTCTTGCCTTTGAGTTCTGTTAGTCTGATAACGACCAAGAAGAGAGAAGATGAAAGAAGAAAGAAAGAGAGAGAGAGAAAGGAGGAGAAAAGGAGAGAAGAAAAGTCTGGTTCGAATAAGGGAAAAATCACTTCTCCCATTCGGCCAGACATGTTTTATATTACTAACATAATGGAAAAGACACATGTGCCCTTACTTAAGTGAGGGACACTAGTTCTAATATAATATTACAGATCAACAACCTCAACATAAGTATAAAGATAGAAATACCCCTACACTAAC